TTGCTAGTGATACTCTGGATAAATTGCAACCAGGGGTCTGTTCTTTGTACGTGGATTACTTAGTTAGCTGGATTTGGTTATTGACGATTTGACATGATCCAGGATCGTTTCGTTCTTCAAAACTGATCAAAGACTTGTTGTCATAGCAACAGTTCTGGTAGCTCAAACCTGGTCGGGAGCAGGCTCATTTCATAAAAACAAGATTAGATCGGGTCAGTTCAAGCAAAGAAAATACTGAAAGCATGCACTGAATGCTGATAATTTCTTAGTAGTTATATATACTTTGGCAAATAGTAAATTTTTAAACTATATATATATATATATATATATATATATATATATATATATATATATATATATATATATATATATATATATATATAATTATATATTAATAAAACTTCTAAATGAAAGTACAAAGACTGCCACCTGGTGGTGCAAAGAGAAAACTTGTTGATATTAACTTTTTAAATCGCTTTAGTACAATCCGTGTATGATAATAGACATAAACAATATGTGACTTTTTAAAAGCAATAATACATTTATCCAGTCATAAACATGTTTTGACAGTTAATATGACGGTGATTTGATGCTTCATAAAAGTTGCAGACACCTTTACCAATATCAAAATGCTTTTGTAAACATCCAGTTATTCTTTACGCCCATTAAAAAAAAAAAAAAAACGGTTACTATAATACTACTATGGCTACTATAATAAAGAAAATCCGCTCTAACTGTAAAACTAAATAAACTGCTCTTGAAACATGAAAGGGCCAAGCATGCAGCCCACAACAAAGGTGAAAAGTTGTTGCTTATCATTTTTAACAAACCGTTTACTACTAATTTTATGTAATTTTGCTCACATGGATAATTGAATATTAATCAGATGATGTCATTACGCTGCTGTACTGTCTGCCAATCGTTGCATTGCTGATCATGATTTCGAGGATATACAGATCAGTCCTTCACAACATACGCAACGATCTCAGATCAGTTCATCCAGACATTTTAATCTGATTCACGAACTTGTTTGAAGAACCAAATTAACCAGAAATCAGTTATTAAGATTAACAGATCCAGGATCTGCCAAATCATCTTAGATCATTTAAGCAAGCTACTAAGAACAGTCCCCTGATCTCAGTTTTAATGGATATGCTCTACACTGTAAAATATTATGATCATAAAGTCACGACAAATGTTTTTATATAAATACGGCTGCAGAATATTAAAACAAATTGACAATGCAATATTTGGTTTTTCTGCATGATATATTCCGATATGAAACATATATATTCACTGAAAGGACTGAATAACTATTTGTGAAGAATTCACCATTTCAGAATGGTTAAGGTCATTTTATAAAAGAGTGGATTTACATAAATGATTATAAATTACTTCAGAAGAACTTTAAAGTAGATTTTTAGTGAGGGAAAAAAGTAAAAATAAGAAAAATGTTTTGCATTTGTCTGTTAAGTATTAACAAGGTTAATAAAAGCAGTCAGACACAAATATTAAAACATCTACATGAAAAATGACACTTAACAGCCTTCACTATAAACAAATTCAATTTAAGTCATCTTAAAGCTACAAATGGCATTCATTTGTTTTCCTTTGGCTTAGTCCCTTATTCATCAGGGATCACCACAGCGGAATGAACTGCCAACTACTTCAGCATATGTTTTACGCAGTGGCTGCCTTTCCAGTGGCAACACATTACTGGGAAACTACCATAAACTCACATTCTCACACACACTCATACACTACAGACAATTTAGTTCATTCAATTCACCTATAGAGCATGTCTTTGGACTGTGTGGGAAACCAGAGCACCTGGAGGAAACCCACGCATTAATCTACAATCAACAATTATCAACAATAATCTATACTTGACACTGAAGATCATAAAATGTGACTATTGCAGATTTGCACATTGCGATATCGATGCTGAAATAATATATTGTTAATCATCATAACTGTTGTCATGTTTCAACTTAAGTTTTTTAACTATAAAGCTGCGGTCACACTTGACTTTTCTCCCCATAGACTTTCATTCATACGCACTTGAATGCGTCAGACCGGAAACGCAGGGTCATGCATCAAAATTCGCAGTTCGCTGCGGTGCCAAGTTCAAGCTTTTTGAACTCTGACCTGCGAAATCGTGTCATTTGACTGCGTGAGACCAATCGAGGATGAAAACATGACCTCTCTGGACAGAAATTTAAAACACGAAGCAATCGCTCGCTTTTTTTAATGTCTAATAATCTTGTTTAATCATCCCACCCCTTTTAGCAGCGCCGTACGACATGCACAAACTCTAGTGTGACCACAGCTTTGCAAACTCCACACAGAAATGCCAACTGGCCCAGCTGGGACTCAAGCCAGCAACCTTCTTGCTGTAAGGCGACTACTGAGCTAAAATGAATGACTGAATATGAGACAATATTTTTTGCTGTATGGTTATACTGAATTAGACTTTAGTTGGTGTTTTCTTTAACATCCCTGTTAAAATGTGTCATGGTAAAAATGTTTTTAGAACAGTATACAACTGTATTACACTACACTGGACTCTACACTAAAAGGGACCAATTATGTCTCTTTTTGCAAGATGTAAAAAAAAATAAATAAAAAAAAGTCAATATAGTGTGTATGCAAAGTTTCAGCTCAAAATACCCCACAAATAATGCTTTATAAATCTTTGAAACTGCTCCTTTTTAAGGCTTTGATTCTAATTGTGCCATTATGGTGACTGTCGCTTTAAATTTAAATGAGATTGTGCTGTTTACAAAAGAGGGTGGAGCTACAAATGTCTGTGCCGGTAGTGAAAGATTAAAAAACAAGTCTTATGTAAATGAGGATCACAAATGGGCGGGGCTTTCCCTCTCACTTAAAAGGCAGAATGTCAATCAAAGTGTTTCTGCAGACTGTTTTTATCAAGAGTGACTACAAAAAAATAGAATTTCGTAATTTTTACTATTCGCAGCACACACAGCTACCACACAACGGTGTTAAAACCCCTATAAAATGATTTTTGAATAATGGGTTCCTTTTAAAAATCCAAAAATTCCCTACCTGTATAAATTATATAACTACTGTAATGAAGACCAGCATATTAATTGCACAGACACAGGAACCACATTTTTGGTATGGTTTATCCACTTATAAACAAAATAAATTAGCATCAGTTAAACATAAATTATTTTTACTGCAAAACTTTGAGAATAATTATTAAAAAAAAGAATACATTTGTTCTGCTTATGAATGAATGGGTTTCAATGAGTTTGGCTATGGAAGAACTAAATCAGATCGTTTTTTTTCCCTGAGAGAAAGAAACTGAACAAGAGTCAGTGCTTAAAGGAAGCTTCTGAACTCCCTTTCTGAGAAAAAGAAAACTGCAATCCACACACGCAAGTTCCCTTTTCAAGAATTCTGCATCCCTGTCGTGCTCTAATATCCAAATCATAAACCACAGCAGTAACAATACGAGGATTATTTGTGCATTATCCACTATTGAGATCAGCGACAGTTGCAGTGTGTTGAAGTGGATCAATAAATGTTCTCCTTTCCAGAAAACAGAGTGAAGAGTGGAATTAAGTGGGAAAAGATAAAGAAAAACATGACTTGTTTTCTGAGCACAAACTGGTACTTCAAGTTCATGTTTCGCCTCATTGAAATACTTGTTTAAAAATGGAGTTTATGAGTATGAAGGTATGATTCTAAGGAAGGGAATTCTGTCATTCCAAAAGTGAAATCTAAAATCTAAAGAAGCTATCCGAGTATGAAATAATGTGTGTCTACTAAATTAATATAAATGAATAAATGAGTGAACCTGTTAACACCAATGCAAAGATGTAGATTTGTTTAGAAAAAATAATTCTGTCATGGTTAACTCATCCTCACAGCATTTTAAAAAACTAAACAAATTCTGGTATAATAATGACTGTGCGTATGAGGTTGCAAACGGTTTTATTTTGATTTGAACAATCAATTGCTTTTCTTATTGAATTTACTAATAAATTTACTCTCTATTTATCATGAAGATAACATTAGAGTCAACACTGACCTCATCACTAATGGACAGAAGCAGCAAATGCAGCATTCATAGGGATAGTTGATTCACATAATTGAATTTAAAATTACATCATCATTTACTCTGGCTGGGCCTATAGTCAAAAGCAAATTCTTTGGCAATCCTATCCAAGGAAGTAAAATAAGAAATATTTCAAGACACACTTTCAGTATTTTTAGAAACAGTCAGGCAGCATTAAAACAACACACTGCAGGTAAAAACAATTTAATCGTTAGTTTTTTTTTAAAATGTAAAGTTGTAAAAATGTTTTTAGCTTTTCATAGAGTTAATTTTTTTAGTCTAAAGGCAAAGAAAACATACAATCCAAAATAAATGTTTAAATGCAACCTTTTTGTACTTTATAAATTTGTGTCTACAATTTAATGCATATATTTTCAGGCTGTTTTCTCAACATTTGTTTTTTTTTCACCACTTGCATACACCGCAGCTCTAAGACTAAACTATACAGTCATATAAATAGATAGAAAAAACAATAGATAGCATTAGCGAGCTAACGAACAAGTCAAACGAACGAACGAATGCTCTATCGATAGACAGATAAATATGGATGGATGGATATATAGATAGATAAATAGATAAATAGATAGATAGATAGATAGACAGACAGACAGACAGACAGACAGACAGACAGACCAATAGACAGATATAGATACAGATAGATACACAGATAAAAAGAACAATAGATAGCATGAACGATAAATAGAAAAACAAATGACCAACTGAACAAGAGAACAATTGATAGATAGATAGATAGATAGATAGATAGATAGATAGATAGTGATCAGTTAATGCAAAATAAGCCTCAAAATACTCAAAATCCCCTCTTTAAAATTAATATAATATCCTAATAAAAAACAATTTTAAATAATTTTACCAGACTTCATCCAATGACATCACTTTTCCATTCTAGAAATGTATGCAAACAAGTGTATATTTATTGAAACACCTCATTTGCATATTTAAACATTGTATTTTTAAAGCTTGTATCACAAATAATCTTTGCAATTCTTAATCTCAATCACCTGGAGAAATATAGTGTTCGCTATGAGTAATACATATTTTTAGTGTTCACCTGCAGTGAACAGTCTCGCCTTAAGAGCTGTAATGTTCAAACGTGGCCACTAGAGGACAGTAATCACCAACATCACACATTTCCTCTGCAGACGCTGATACGAATTTCAAAGTAAACACAAAAACCTACTGAACTCCACAAGGAACACTCCCGAAATGGTTTTTATCTTCATCACCTTTCTCAACAATGTTTATTATATGTGAAGTAAAGAATAGCAGTGCTTTACCAAAACACTTTTGACAACTTTCTCAACAACATTTATTATATACTGTATGAAGGAAGGAATGGTAGTGTTTCAGCACAGCGCTGGAAGGAATAATAACTGTATATTCTCTGTCTTTCAGGAGGTAAAGGTGCTCGTAGTGAAACAGAAGTCAGGGATGTTCCCTTTGCTTCTGTCTGTACCTGACATTGCACTGTTTATCCGCTGTAATTTTTAGCGCAGAGGCACCATCACCTCCACGTAGTTGCATGGAAAGAGTCCAGTCTGACCACGAAAGCTTCCCTCATACCAGTTGTCGTCAATCTGGTTGGTGAGTGTGATCACATCGCCCTCGTTAAAGCCCAGCTCTCCCTCATTTTCCGGCTCAAAGTCATACAGAGCTCTGCAGCACGGCTGATCTGCGGCTATGGAGAAACACAAGAGGACAGAAGAAAAAATTAAGCAGAGAAATTAATTATTGGAAAGGGGTTTAAAAAAAGTATCATTTAAAAATATAGTCATTTTAACACTTAAGTATTTTTCAAATTTACAACACTTTCATTATGCTCGTGGCTGTTTTAGCCTCATTGATTTCCATTATAATGACTGCAAAGCCTTAACAACATACACTACCTGACAAAAGTCATTACGCCTATCCAAGTTTTAGGAAAAACCAATAATTACTTGACTTCTAGTTGATCATTTTGTATTAGAAGTGGCTTTTATGAAAGGCAAGGGCCTTTAGATTACCCTTATTTTACCCAACCAAAATATGATCATGCCTTGATTTTTAATTATTTAATTAGGACACTAAGGTCTGACTCTGCTTAGACAAAAGTCTTGTCACTGAACAGAAATAATGTCCAGTATAGAATATAAAGTCATGGTGCAGTTGAAATAGAATGAATATTGTGTGTGACTCCCATGAGCTTGGAGTACTGCATCCATACATCTCTGCAATGACTCAAATAACTTCTATAAATTAATAAAGTCATCTGGAATGGCAAAGAAAGCGTTCTTGCAGGACTCCCAGAGTTCATCAAGATTCTTTGGATTCATCTTCAAAGCCTCCTCCATCTTACCTAGACATGCTTAATAATGTTGATGTCTTGTGACTGGGCTGGCCAATCATGGAGTACCTTGACCTTCTTTGCTTTCAGGAACTTTGATTTGGAGACTGAAGTATGAGAAGGAGCGCTATCCTGCTGAAGAATTTGCCCTTTCCTGTGGTTTGTAATGTAATGGGCAGCACAAATGTCTTGATACCTCAGGCTGTTGATGTTGCCATCCACTCTGCAGATCTCTCACATGACCCCATACTGTAACCCCAAACCATGATTTTTCCTTCACCACACTTGACTGATTTCTTTGAGAATCTTGGGTCCATGCAAGACATATTAGGAAATGAATCTCTGTGTGCTGTTGGGGATGATTTCTTCCATTCTGGGCTGATTTGGAGTCCTAATTTGGCCACAACTTTCTCGGTGTTTCAGCAAATGGGATGATTTTTGTGAATATTGGAGGAAAAGAAAGTACTAGTTACATTTAAAAAGTCTTTAAATGTGTAAAAAAATCACAACTCTCTGGGTAATTCAAATAAAAAACTATCGTTATAATGAAAGTCAAATGCATAACAGCATATAAACATAATCATGAATTCTTGATTGTTGCTGGTTTTTCATGCTGGACAACAGTCAGTAAAAATGCTCAACTCATGTTGGATGGATGGATAGATAGATATAGATATATAAATAGATAAAACAACAGCGAGGATAGATGGGTGGGTGGATGGATGGATGGATGGATGGATGGATGGATGGGTGGGTGGGTGGAAGGATGGATGGACAGAACAACAGCGAGAATGGGTGAATGGATGGATGGATAGATAAAATGATAGAACAATAAAATAATAGAAATAGAGAGAACGGTAGACAGAACAATAGATAGAATGATAGAACAATAAAATGATATATACATGTAGATAAACAGAACATTAAAACAATAGATTGATAGAACGATAGAACATTAAAATAATAGAACATTAGATAGAACGATAAATAGACAAAACAATAAATTGATTGATAGATTGCTAGAATGATAGATACAATGATAGAAGGATAGATTGTTAGAATGATAGATAGACAGCACAATAGAAAGAACGATAGACAGAACGATAGAAAGAGAGAGCGATAGATAGAACGATAGATAAAATGATAGAACATTAAACAATAGAACGACAGACAGACCAATAGATAGAACGACAGAATGATCAATAGAACCATAGATAGAATGATAGACAGAATGATAGATAGACAGAACGGTAGATAGATAGAATAAAAGATGGAACGGTTGATGGATGGAAAGATAGATAGATAGATAGATAGATAGATAGATAGATAGATAGATAGACAGACAGACAGACAGACAGACAGACAGACAGACAGACAGATAGATAGATAAATAGACAGACAGACACTAATGTGTGCATGTGTTGCTTGAAGTAGACTGATTCCCTAATTATTTATAAAGTAATTGAGATCAGATGGCCCTAGAGGACACCCCATGTAGACAGCATACAGTGCAACATCAACATCACTAACAGCCTGTGTGTGTGCGTATGATGTTCATGAACTGTTCATGCAGCTTTTCATAAACAACTCATTTCTGAGCTAAACAAGCTCCCAGGGTGGATCATTTAATGTGTGTCTGTTTGATCACGCTTCTGATTGTGTGTACGAAAGAAAATGTCACAATACCAAATCATCTCTCTCTCACACACACACACACACACACACACACACACACACACACACACACACACACACACACACACACACACACACACACACACACACACACACACACACACACACACACACACACACACACACACACACACAGAAATATAGACATACAAAGCAAATGATTGTGTTTATTTATGCATGTTTCACCAGAGTATATTCAGCAGGTGTGTGATTCTCACTATTTATTTTTAACAGGACCGGAGGCTGACGACAAAAAAAAAAAAAAAAAAAAAAAGTCTGGCAAAGAAACCTCCACCAAGCCCAGTGTGTGTTTGTGTGTGACTCACAATTACGTTTCTGGCGTGAAGATGCCCTGTTAAAGGAAGGGGCTGCTGACGTAAAAGAAAGAAAAACAATGATCAGTATTTGACTGTGAAAGCAGACATCAAATACACACATCCATTCATATAAACACGCATGAACACATCTGCATTATAAGCCTGTGTTACTGAACTGTCTGATCAGTATGCAGCATGCCATCTGTCTATTTCCTTTATATCCTTTCGCATATAATGACTTTTGCCAGAACGCTGTAAACAACAGAATCCACTAGCTTTGTTGTTGCTTTTTCTAAAAGTAAAAAATAAATGTAAGTACTGCCTTGGCAGCTATCTGAACTATACACAAACAAACAAACAAACAAACAAACAAACAAACAAACAAACAAACAAACAAACAAACAAACAAACAAACAAAGTATATAGGTAAAAGGTATAAGTTAAATTACTGAAATAAAAATAATACATTCATAATTCAGCTTAACAGAATTACTACAAAAATTACATTAAAACAATTGAAAACTTTTTTTTTTAAATAATTAAAAATGTTAGTATATACTACAAGTACACTCACTGGCCCCTTTATTAGGTACACCTGTCCAAAAGCTTGTCAACACAAATTATTAATTAGCCAATCACACGGCAGCAACTCAAATTATTTAGGCATGTTAACATGGTCAAGACGATTTGCTGCAATTCCAATTGAGAATCAGATTGGGGAACAAATGTGATTTAAGTGACTTTGAACGAGACTTGGTTGTTGGTGCCAGAAAAACCAGCGACCTTATTGCTGTGAAGCGTTTGTACTACCCACAGTGCAACCATGACGCCGCAGATATAATTTAAATTTTGTTAACAAAACAGAGCCATCTGTACAAATTGTAGCCTCATCTTTCATACATTTGCAGATCATGATAACCACAGGCGCATCACCTCACAACCATGAGCAGAAATAGCCTGACTATGTGGTTTCTGCAGTGTTTGACATTGGAGTTGCGGAAATAACATGCTTCTCTCTTGATCTCATTTAGCTGTTTAGTAACTAATACAAGGACTATTTAGAAGTAAATATCAAATGCACCAAAGCCATAATGAAATCGAGCTACTCATCTGCACAGCATGGATCATGTGCTCACGACTGAACAGTGCAGAAAACGATTTTCTTTTTGGCAGAAAGTTAATGGTCTGTGTGGCACTAGTGCTCTTTATTATGTCTCATGAAGAAAAGAACAACAATGCTGTCAGTTAGATAAATATGGTTGACCATCTAGCAGGATTTAGTCAAACCAGAGACTCTGAGCTGCACTTGCAAAGTCCTGAAATAATCCTGCATGTCCTGGTGGTCTAGAAATTTGGGTACTGACTAAAAGTGCAGATATGCTATTATAATATTACTCTAGTAGAAGTATTAAGTCCTCTTTTTCACATTCACTCATTAATTGAATCAAAGTACAAAAGTACAACACAGTTGTAATTTACTAGAACTTCTGTTAAACTGCTTTGACACAATTTATATTGTAAAAGCGCTATAGAAATAAAGATGGATTGAAAACAGAAGTTTACTTAATTATGAATGTTTATGTGGCAAGATCATTTAATTACCAAAACCTGTCAAACTCCCTTAAAGGTGCAGTAGGTGATTGTCTTCAGAAACATGTTTTTGTTGTGCCTTTTGAAAGTCTCTTCACAGTCCAATAGTAATGATTACAGTAAATGATCTAAATGTGTTTATATGTATTTTTACATTCTGGGTGAGGCATAAAACAAAAAAATGTTCAATTAAATATTGTCGGGCCGACATCTCCCATAATCCCGATAAGTAGCTCAAACTGTCTGTCAGCAAATGTAGATTCGGACATCTGTGCATCTGTTTACGCAGATCCGCCATTCGTGTGTGCCCGCCTGCATGAGCGCCGCACGTTCACGAGACAATCACAGACGCGGTGAAATGAAATGCTGAACTCAAACTTTGGAAAATCCTGAATCAATATTGGAGTTACTTTTGCATGCTGGAGGAAGGACGACACCATGACTGATGTAATGTTCTGTTTTAGAACTATTTTAGTCAGGCTGAGCTTATGTTAGATTGTGTTGTGTTGTGAATGACTTATATGTACAGAAGTGTTGTTCAGCCACTGAAATCTCCCAGCAGAAGATTGATGCAACTATTTTCAGTTTCATAAGGTCCTTTTACAGCATTGCTAATGTAGATTTATATTTAGTTTAACAACAAACAATCAGTAAATAGCGCTATTCCGTTTAACCTGCTTTATTGAGCTGAAGTTGCTTTTATATTCACATTGGGTCATTTTTGAACAATGATAGTCTTCCTGTACTGTTTACCATGCTACTCTGAATATTCGCTCTAAAATAGCATGTAATTGTGGCTTAGTAATAAATGCAATTCCTGCACGGCGCTGGCCAAACACTGGAACTAACTGGAACTAACTGGAAAATGACATGAACTATTGGGTTGTCAGCTGTTGTGACGTCGTGTGCATGTTCACGATTTCAGGAGGCGTGGCTTTGAATCACAGTCCCTCCCTGCCACCTAAAGATAATGTGCTAGCATTTTGGCAGATCATCTACTGCACCTTTAACTATACTGAAAATTCAAGTGAAAAGATGTGAAACTACTTTTACACATTAAACCCCATTCAGACCAGTCTCTAAAATCAGTGAATTGCTTAATTGAAATTCACTCTGAACAGATCATTTGAATCAGTGAATCATTTACCAGAAGCTCACTCAGAATGGATTATTTTAATCAGTAAATCATTGACTGGAGACTTAATCTACGGAGCTCATTTAGGACAGTGGTCCTCAACCACTGGGCTGCAGACTGGTACCAGTTCATGGATCAATTGGTACCAGGCTGCACAAAATTTATTTGTATTTTTTTTTTTTACATGAATTATTTCCGTTTGATTTATTATCTGAGTCTGAACGATCTTTTATTTTAAAAAGTCTTTTATTTTGAAAAAAGACTGTATTCTCTCGGTTACATCTAGGTCACTTAAGCACCCAAATTTAACCCACAAGCAGCAAAATGAGTAAGAAACAGTCGTCTTTGGAAAGGGGGAAAAGGCCCAGTGAAGGACTCACGAACTGCCAAGGAATGTAAAAATAATAATTATAATAATTCATTTTATTTGTAAATGACACCCAAGACACCCAAGGTCGCCATGCTAAAACTAATTAAAACAAATAATAAAACATTACCAAACAAGCATTGACCAAACAAGTATAAACACACATCGCGTATATAAAATAACAGGATAAAAATTTGTTAAAGGAAAGCCTGCTTAAAAAGATGGGTCTTTAGACGAGATTTCATATTTATGAAATAAAGATTTATTTCATAAGATTTCAAAACTCTGCAGCTAGAATACTTACTCATACCAAACGGTCGGCTCACATAACCCCAATCTTGTATGATCTTCATTGGCTCCCGGTTGCATACCGGATTAAATTCAAAATTCTCCTCCTTGCATTTAGATCTTTAAATACCTTGCACCTTCCTATCTCTGCAACATGCTTGTCCCCTACACCCCAACTCGCTCTTTACGGTCTGCCGACTCTGGCCTTCTTGCTGACCCTCGGTACCGCCTCTCTTTTATGGGGGGCAGATCATTTAGTGCTATTGCACCCAAACTCTGGAACTCTCTAACACACTCACTTCGCTCTGCTAATAATATCTCTGAATTCAAATCCTTACTTAAGACTCACTTATTTTCTGAATGCTTTGCATCTGATCTACCAAACTGACCACTTAATCTGATCCACCACTGCTCTGCTCATATGTCTCTTAGGTTTCGTTTGTGTTATTCATGTTTGTTATATTTGACCTCATGTATGTTTGTTTATCTTTTTGTTGCATTCCTTGTAAAGTGTCCTTGAGCTCTGGAAAGGCGCTATATAAATAAAAATTATTATTATTATTATTTAAAAGTGTGAAGACTATCACTGCTCCTTAGGGGAAGCGAGGTCCATAGCCGACGAGCCATAGAGCTAAATGATCCGTCTCCCACTGTGCTTAATCGAGTAAGAGGTGGTACCAGGGAGAAGGAGTTGGGTGATCTGAGAGTGCAAGAAGGGGTGTAAATATGGAGACGTTCTGTGAGATATTGCGGAGCAAGACTATGAAGTGCCTTGAAAGTTAGAAGTAATATTTTAAAATCAATACAAAACTTTACCGGAAGCCAGTGAAGCTGATAAAGGAGTCCTAGAGATGACATGAGCTGCATGGTTCTGAACCGGTTGGAATTTATGGAGAAGTTTAGAAGGAAGCCCAGAAAGAAGTGCATTACAGTAGTTAAGACTTGAAGTAACTAATGCTTGGATAAGAATTTCTGTGTTATTGGTTGTGAAAGAAGGGCGGAGACGAGTGATATTGCGCATGTATCTACAACCCATTTGTCAACAAATTAGGTAAATCCACAATAGTTGTACAAGAAGATCAACTGATGGAGATCGCAAATGACGGCGGCCTTTTAGGGGGCGTTCATATATTGCGTCTTTTCTAGAGTTCACATAAGTTCGTTGTTTTCAATGGAGGTGCGTGGTTTGTGCTCACAAGTGTTGTGGAGCGCTTGCGCCTTCCAGACCAGACGCACCCAGTTAAAACGAGCGTACCCAAGTCACGTGACAAGAACTGACAGTTTACATTTTTTTTAAAACTATTTTAAGGTCAATATTATTAACCCCCTAAAGCAATATTTTTTCGATTGTCTACAAAACAAACCATTGTTACATAATGACTTGTTTAATTACCCTACCTTGCCTAATTAAGCCTTTAAATTTCACTTAAAGCTCAAGACTAGTATCTTAAAAAAAATTCTAGTAAAATAATGCTGTCACCATGGAAAAGAAAAACGAAATCCGTTATTAGAAATGAGTTATTAAAACTATTATGCTTAGAATTATGCTGAATTGGGGGACAAAATATATACGGGGGATAATAATTCTACATCCAGTGCAGTTTCCCACTGAGAGCGTGTTGGTTAATCAACTGCGTCGTCTTGGCTTGTCTCCGTGGAAACCGGAGAGCGTGTGAGCATAAACTCAGTGAATCATGCAGAGATCATTGTTAGATGAATGAGTTAAGGTCGCCCATTAGACTGATTTACATTAACCTTGCTCTCGATTGATGTGAATTTGGGAAGACAGGGCTGTTACGTGTGATTCAAAGCATGTTTCCGGAAGCCCCTGAAATTGCACGATTAACCTTTGCTGAATTAGGTTAGTCATTTGCACTTGTAATGGCTTTCTGTGTTTCACGTCTACTACCACCATGCCATTCGAAGTCTGTAAGGAGATTCAGGCGTCCTCGCTAAGATTTAAATGGGATTTTTTTTTTTTTATAAAAATCTGCATGTTAATGAACTTTATATTACTGTATTACAGTGAAAGAAGCACTCCACTGACTTTACAACTCGAGTTAAAACAACTGAGTTTTGCTATTTTTAAATCCATTCAGAAAAATCTCTGGGTCCGGCAGGAGCACTTTTAGCTTAGCTTAGCATAGATCATTGAATCGGATTAGACCATTAGCATCTCACGTAAAAATTAAAAAAGAGTTCTGACAATTATTATTTAAAGTTTTACTCTTTTTTTTATCTACATCATGTGCTAGGACTGATGAATAAATAAAAGTTGCTATTTTCTTGGTTGATATGTCTAAAAACTATACTCACATTCTAGCGTAATAATAAACTTTACCGTCGTATCATGTTCCCAGCAGGAACAATGATATTATATATTATGATATATGCAGTGCCTAAAAAAATAAACAAAATAAATAAAAATCGATCATCCATATATTCTGGCCTAAATACAGCAGGGAAAATAAGTATTGATACCCTTTTATTCTTAGAACACATTTTTCTATTTCATAAATATTAAATATTTTTGAAGGTTGACTAAAAGGTTGAAAAAATTTTCCCCAGATGTTGGTAACAACCAAAGAAATCTATATATGCAAAGAAAACAAATCTAAGTTGTTTGCAAATAAGGCTATGTGTAATAAAATGAAATGACGCAGGGAAAAAGTATTGAACACATGAAGAAAGGGAGGTGTAGAAAGGCAGTGAAAGCCCAGAGAGTAGCTGAAATCAGCAACCCTCTGCCCTTCCTCATTGTAAATGAATATTAGCTGCTTCAGTCCAATCAGGATGATGAAGATGACACCAGGGTGGACATTTCAGCTAGACAATGATCCAAAACACAGCCAAGGAAACTCTCAAATGCTTTCAGAGAAAGAAAATAAAGCTGTAGAATGGCCCAACCAATCACCTGACTTGAATCCAATAGAAAATACAAATTAAAGCTCAGATTTGATAGACGAGACCCACAGAATCATCAAGATTTTTACACTCTCTTGATGTCTATAAAAACTCACACCTGAGCAATGCATGTGACTTCATTCTCCATATGAGAGGCGGATTTAAGCTGCCATCACCAGAAAAGCCTTTTATATAAAGTATTAAAGTTTCAGTAGTTCAGCACTTTCTCCTGGTGTCATTTCATTGTTATTACATTTAACTATTTTCTCAGATTTGTTTTTTTTTTTTTTTAATGCTGTGGCGACCCCAGATTAACAAAGGGACTAAGCCGACCAGAAAAAGAATGAATGAATGTTTTTATGTTAGGGTTTTTAAAAAAATCTGGTTCAATTTCACGTCAACAGCTCCTTTAGAAACATTATTCCCAGGATAAAATCATGATGTGTTCGATATTTATTTTCCCTGCTGTTGATACAGTTTAGGAAATACTGAATTATCTCTCATGAATGTTTCCATGAATGATTAGATTGACAGAATTAGCAGATTTTTTTTTTTTAAATGGTGTGTTTTTTTTTTATGTCAATCATGTGGCTTTCCCAGTTGTGTACACTGCATACGGTTTAAAAATTAATCCCAAATTAATTTAATAAGATTCTGTAGTCTTTATTTGGATAAAATTAAACAAGTTCAGTGCTGATTCAGGTAATTATTGTTAGTGAATTTGAATGTGTGCAAAAAGGATTGTGGGTGAATATGTTCAACAAAATGATAGAGTTGATTACTAACCTCAAAACTCAAAACAGGTCTGCATTTAAGGGTTTATTGGTTATTGTTTATGGGTTATTGACTGAGTTTTTGCTTCGAGAATCTCAGCATTTCACTATAGTCTCATTTTTTTTCAGAATGAATGAGAAATAAAAAAATACTGTGAGTTTACAAACTGAAGCAGGCGTCTTTGTTAAGATTTAAACAGGAATTTATATTAGTAATAGAAACATTAATAGACTTTATATAAATGCATTACTGATAAAGGAACACTTTACTCATTTTACAACTTAAAATGAGTTAAACGGTTGAGTTTTACCATTTTTATATCCATTCAGTCGATTCCTGTGTCTGGCAGGGGTATTTTAGCTTAGCTTAGCATAGATCACTGAATCGGATTAGACCATTAGCATCTCACTCTGTCCATTAGCACCTCGATCACACATCACAGCATATCTCGTAATTCAGTTTTTTTTTTCTATCATGAAATTAAAGTATACATTGCCAGTATAAATTTTACAATTCTGACTTTTCCCCTCAGAACCTTGCTGTTCAATTATTTTAGCTTAAATCAGAGGTGCCCAAACTCAGTCCTGGAGGGCCGATGTCCTGCAGATTTTAGTTCCAACCCCAATTAGACATCTGGACCAGCTAACCAATCTCTTTCTAGATATACTAAAACACTTCCAGGCAGGTGTGTTGAAGGAAGTTGGAGCTAAACTATGCAGGACACCGGCCCTCTAGGACAGAGTTTGGGCACCCCTGATATAATTTAAAGGATGCATATGTTTAAGCACTCTGGTTTCATGATTTCAGTATTTTTCTTGTAAATATCAGGTTGATCTGACCTGTGGATGAGTATGAGGGTGGTGCTGCTGCTGATGGATTCCAGCCTCCGTTGGAGTCTTCTGGATCCGAGTAATCAATGCTCGGTCTGGACACAGGCATCCGCTTCTGCCGAGGCTGAGACTGGGCCTTGTTTACTCTGCAGGACATACACAAAAACATCAACACAAATGCAGGTAAAAACACAGACTGCACTCTGGTAAAAAAAAATACAAAATTGTGCAACAATACGGGTTATTTCGTTCACATATTCAACAAAATATAAGACTTTTTCTGATTTTTATGTATAGATGTATATATACAGGTGAGGTCAGAATTATTAGCCCCCTGTATATATTTTTGTTTGACGGAGAGAAGATTTTTTCAAAACATTTCTAAACATAATAGTTTTAATAATTTATTTGTAATAACTGATTTATTTTATCTTTGCCATGATGACAGTAAATGATATTTGACTAGATTTTTCAAGACACTTCTACACAGCCTAAAGTGACATTTAAAGGCTTAACTAGGTTAATTAGGTTAACTAGGTAGGTTAGGGTAACTAGGCAAGTTATTGTGTGACGACTGTATGCTTTAGAAAAGATACAATACATGGTGAGAAGTCTAGCCCTAGGCTGCAAAAAGCAAATATAAGAATTAAGTTCTTTAACCTTTATAGTGCCATATTAAATTGTGTTGGGGTAAAAAGAATGTTTTGATTTCTTTGACCATCATGGCGATGTTATCACCTCAAATCTTAAACGTGCAGATATGAAAACCGCGGCACACTACAAAATATTAAGAATATCGTGCCGGTGGATAATAATATTGACATAAAAGAATCTAAATATTCTTTTATTTTAGCTGAAATCAAACAAATAAGACTTTCTCTAGAAGAAACAAAATATCTAGACATACTGTGAAAACTTCCTTGCTCTGTTAAACATAATTTGAGAAATATAAAAAAACAAAACAAAAGGGGTTAATAATTCTGACTCCAACTGTATATCAAATGTATGTAATATTTGCTCCTTAATGCCTCTTTTCTATTCTATGACATGAAAACTGCACCCAAAGAAATCCATAAATTTCCACAGATTGTTGAGCCTGTCATTCCATCTGTATCTTATGTAAGTATATTGTGAATACATATATTTATTCAGCTTTTAATATTTAATTTATTTACATTATAATAGCATTTAAAGTACATACAGTTGAAGTCAGAATTATTAGACCTCCTGAATTATTAGCTATTTCTTACAACACATTTCTTAATAGTTTTAATAACTCATTTCTAATAACTGATTTCTTTAATCTTTGCCATGATGACAGTACAGAATAATTTACTAAATATTTTTCAAGACACTTCTATACAGCGTAAAGTGACATTTAAAGGCTTAACTTGGTTAATTAGGGTAACTAGGCAAGTTGTTGCATCATGATGGTTTGTTCTGTAGATAAATCGACAAAACTAATAATATTGACCTTAAAATGGTTTTGAAAAAAAATGTAAAACTGCTTTTATTCCAACCAAAATAAAACAAATAAGACTTTCTCCAGAAGAAAAAAACATTAGGAAATACTGTGAAATATTCCTTGCTCTGTTAAACATTATTTGCGAAATATAAAAAAAAGAGGCAAAATAATAATAATAATAAATCACAGGAGGGCTAATAGTTTTGACTATGGCCAATTCCCAATTCTATTTTTATACCTCTACCCCTTCCCTTTGGCCCTTAAAACAGAGTGTGAAGGGGAAGGGCTTCAAAATTTACCCCAAGTAAATGGGACAGCACTACAGCACCTGCATCATGATCTCTTGCTTCATATGAGATTAGACGATAGTGACTGCAGTGTTATTCCAGTTGTGTTATTTTTGGGTGTTTATCTTCAGGAAATCACTGAAGGCATATATTATATTATCATAATGATCTAACATGGCAATAAGATCGTAACTGTACTGTGCATTTACACCGTGGCCATATTCATCTATGTAAACGCACATAACAACATTAACATTATAGCAGACACTGTAAAAAGCTCATTCTCAGCCACTAGACTTTTCTTTTTTTTATATTTTATTTATATTTTGTGAAACATTACAAAAATATACAAAGACATAAACATGTAACAATAGGTAAATACAGTGAAGAGTATTTTGAGCAAATATTAATAATAGAAATAAATAATAAAAAATAAATAAATTATAATAAAAAAACATAAATAAATAAAAAACAACAACACTAGTGCAATCTTGTATACAGAAAAAACAAGTCTACAATGTGTTGACAAGAGATAGTTTCCTGTAAAAGCTGGGCATTGGGGGTGGAGACTCAATCAGAAGGAGCTGGGTCAAGCTGAAGAGTTTGGACATGTTTGCGAAGGGGTTCCCACAGTTTAGTAAAAATAGTGCCACTAGACTTTTCTGACAGGGTATTCAAGAGTCATCGAGTGTCAGAATGTTGTGGGACTGCTATACAGGAGTTATGATTATTGATTATAGATCGTGAAATTTAGCGGTTTTTATTTTTGCAGGTTTTTATTAAAAGCATGATGGCAAAACACAAACGCGGTTATGAATATATTAAAACATGTGCTTGTTTGTTGTAAATAATAATGTTCGTAATAATGACAAAAATACACATTTTTGGATCTCCTTACTTCAGGGTGCAGCTATCCTGCCGTTGTGGCTGGTGTATTCTGGGAAATTTTCTTACCTGGGAAAGTTTCGAGTGTAGTCCTGAAAATTCTTCGTTTGAAGGGGTATCTACCCCTTGCCCTTAGCCCTACGCCTTCAAGCTAAATAGAATTGGGACGCACCTACCGCTTCACGGGAATGCGCAAAACAAGGGGTAGGGGTAAGGGGAAGGGCTAAGGGGTAGAATTGGATTTGGGCCTTCAGCTGTATTACTGAATATTTAAATGTTTAGATTATTTGTGTACCACAACTTTATAAAGTTATATTTTCAGGTTTTTTATGTATTATATGAGAAAACTGCAATACATTTGTTACATTGTTGTGTATAATTGAATTCTCATTTAGAACTTTAACTAAAAGTTTTATATTTCTTTATTATAATATTTACATTTTCAGCCTACACTCTCAAAAGCATTCAATAGAAATTAGCTGATGTTTATCTTTTTTTGTTTGTTTGTTTGTTTTACAAAATTCTGTGGTGAAATAACTAAAAATGTCTGCAGATTCTATCTGGTCCTACCTTTGACACATGAAATAAAGTCTGGATAATTTAAAATGGGTTATTCTGTTCAGTAACATCAGTGTCATGCAGAGATATAGATCATTTAATGTAATTTAGTGTAAGTTTAAGGAGCCTGTTGACATGATGCTCTTTTTATATTATTGTGATCAGATGACATTGTAAACTGCTGTTTTCTCAGCACTGTTACTTTTGTTATGCATTCATTTTATCATTGAGAGAAGAGTGCTCATATTTCCACATACAACTAAATTTAAACCCCATTAAC